GAGGCTGAAATATCAGTAGAATCAAATTTACTAATACATTACGGTGCAGAATAATCCTAGACCTTTCTATTTAATTAAGACTTAATTCATAGAAACAACATTTTTATTTCTACACAAATGGACAAAAATTCTTTTGTGAAGCTATTCAAATAAAACCCCTTGAGCAGTAATTTCATACTGTTATAGATAATGTCTATTTTTTATTAGTATATACACACTCGGTGACCTTGGTGATTTAAGCAATCTGATTGGTTCACTATCTCGGACTATTCAACAATATTCACCTCCTAGCGAGTGGATAATGTGTGAGCTCGCTTTTTTCCCATTTTGTTAGAGAAAGATCTTTTAAAAGTCGACAAAATCCTAGGGTTGACCTTTTTTCAGGCAAGAAAAGACTTCGAAGGATTCAAAACGGCGTTTTTTCACTTACTGTTGTGGAGTTTTGTGGTCGATGGATTGTTTACAACTCCCGTTTATTCGCCTAGAAGAGACCGTTTTTTGATCTCAGCGTTTCCCGGAACAAAAAAATATGGCCCAACAAGGAAGTTTATTTATGACAAACAAATTTGAAAGCAAATGTTTGCAGAAATTCTACGTTTCAAGTAAACACGAGAAAGAATACTACATAAACACGACGTCTTACCTCGAGGAGCCGAATCGCCATTTTTGTCAGCACTTCATGCGAAGAACGACACAACAAACCTTTTTGGCTATAAACTTGGCGACTCAACAGAAAACACCAAAGCTCTTCTTTTCTTCTCAGGTAAGGAAACAACTCAAACTTTTAGCAGTTCTATTGAAGTTATTATTGTTTGCAAAGTGATAAGCTTGTGAATTGCCATGTTTGAAAATTCTACAAAGATCTATTTTTAAACTGTCGCGTGCCTAGCTGACCTGATCTGTCAATCAAATTGTACTTTTTAATGGTTTCCTCTCTGATTTTGTTGAGATCACTTCGTGTGTGTATACTAAAACAATTATTCTTTTCAATCTCGGTGAATAGTGACTTTAGGAATATTTACCTCGCCACTTCGTGGCTCGGTAAATATTTTGCCACTATTCACCTTGATTTCAAAGAATAATTGTTAAGTATTTTACAAAATAAAATTCAAGAGTTTCCTCAAAGGTATAAGCTGGGCATTGTTGCAAGTAAAAGCCTACATGTATGTGAATGAAAAGCACCTGAAGCATTATAAACACTGCACAAACAAGCCTTCAACAATATAACAAGAATATACTATATTAAGCCCTCTATTAAGTCCTCCCTCGCAAATTAGGCCACCCCCACTACAATACATCCCCATTTTCAGGGGACGAAAGTTATTAAGCCTCCCTATCTTTCAAGCCCCCTTCCCCTTCCCCCTTACTCTTAAATAACAGAATTTAATCCTGACGATAACACTGTCTTTATATGGACTGATCTGGTATGGTTTATTCATATGCTCGAAGTTCAGATTTATTTGTGATCTTCTGCTGCATGACCTCCAATTTCGTGTGCATGTCAATGAGCATTTCCACTTTTTATTTTATCTTTGCTAAGCTTAACCTGCCCCACACTCTGAAATAAGCTCCCCCACCTCACCCCCAGGATTAACGGCAAAATTAAATAATTTTATATTGTAACCTTTGCTATGCCCAGTAGCATACCTCAGTTCTGAGTTCAGTTTTATTGATTAGTTCTTGCCTCAGCTGCTTTACAACATGACTCTGAAATTAAACATTACAAGACATTTCACCATGATAATACCCATTTCTTCAAGATCAATATTCATGTTAACAGTAGTTGCATGCAAATGCACATGTACCATATAAATATAATAATAAATTAACGAATAACTTATAGGGCTGGTAACTGACAAATAGAGACCAAAAAGGCATAGCTTTCTTTATACCACATGTCAATAAAAAATAAGTCTACAGTGTGTCAATAAACTGCACTCAAGCCTAGTGTTAGGAATCAGCTAATAATTTAAAATCAATCACTAGAAATGATAGGATTTACCCAACCAATCGATGATCCATTATACTCCGTGCGGCAAACCTTTTTATATTAAATCTATAATGTATTTTAGATCTGTGCAACTCAAAGTAACAAAGACCTAGATTCACTAGTTTTGTGTGGATGAAAGGTTCATACAATATTATTATTATATGCGGTTTCAAATACATCCAGATTCACATGCACGCAACTTCAAGATGAATTTTCCAAGAGGCCTTCAATTTCTT